AGAGACCAGACGTGGAAGGGAGAGGGATGTTTCTTCAGGGCGCACTGCAGGGACCAGGGCGGCGCGCTAGGCACAGCACAGCGTCACCCAGAGGCTGTGCCACAGCAACCAGACCGCCTCCTGCAATGGGCACCAGCTCCTCAGCCCCGCCCCCAGAGAAGTAGCCCCTCGCTCCTAGCCCCTGAGAAACCACCGTTGGGTTTCCTCTCCTCCGTCCAGCCTCCTGCGATCCTCTGCCGCCGGGTCTGATCCGGAGCCCGCCTTCGCGACCCCCCTTTTTCGCCCGCCCGGCCAAGCGGCACGCGGAGCCGTCCCTGACCTGGGCCACCTGCTGTCCCGTGCGCGCGCTGGGGCCTCGCGCAGCCGCCTGCGAATCCGTTTCTCCCGCTGACACCAATGCTCGGACTCAAGCGCCTCAGGGATAATCTTGCCAGCACGCGGAAGAAGGCGGGGCCAGACAAAAAGGTCTCCACGGGCCGGATGAGAGGGCCTTGCGGGCCGCATCCGGCCCGCGGGCCGTAGTTTGGAGACCCCTGGTCTACATAATAGTATCCACGTTTAGATGGTCCTCATCTCTCTTCATGGGAATTACTGTGTGCTAATGCTCTACAGGGCATATCCGATGAAGCAATTTCTTGAGAGAGAAAAGAACATTACTTACCAGTAACTAGAGAAATCAAAATATATTGTTGCTCCAGATCCACATTGATCCATCCACCTCCCTTACTCCTTACTGCTGCTACTTTTGACAAAATGAAGAAATGAATATGGCAAGGCTTGGTTCTTGGATCTTGCAGTGTGTCTCCTACAATATGTCTCGACAGAGACACTATATTCTGAGTACTCTAGTAACTGGTAAGAAATTTTCCTTTTATGGAGGTCATAATCTCTGTGACTCAGCTGTTCTCAAACTTACAAAGGATTCCTTAACAATCTTAGAAGGATTTCTAAAGTCAAAATATATTTTTGGTCAAGTAGAGCCTTTGTATTTCTGAATGTGCTATTGCCTAAATGCATTAAATCAATGTAAATTATAGATGTAATTCTGAGTGTTTAAAAAAAAAAAAAACAACCCACAATTTAGGAGCTGCTTTCACACCTCCAATTCCCTAATGTCTTAATTCTCTATTCTTATGCCTTATACATTTATAGTGAATTATAAAAATAAAGAAAATAATGTGAACAATAGTGATGAGTAAAGCTTTTTGTTAAAGGGGAAAAAAGAATAGCAATAACACATCGATATAAGGAGCCATCATATTTTATTCCCCAAGATAAGGCCATGTAAGTTAGCTAACAAGAAGGAGAAAGCAGGATTTTACATATAAATATCTTGCTATGGATGACCCATGTATGAAGGGGGAAAAAAATCTATTCTTCTGTACTATGGGGGATTAAGGATATCAAAATACAATTTATTCTAGAAAGCAAGAGCGTCTATGTTGAGATTTTCTCAACCATATTTATCTTCTGTCAAATTAGAGGATTTCTTAGCAGAAAAATAATTAGAATTCGGTTTAAAAAATTTTTGTGCAAAAAAAATCAGTGTTGGTCAGGCTAATGCATAATATACACTGTTCTTCTCTTTGATTTGGCAGCAACAATGATATTAAGTAGGAATAAGTTTAATTTATCTGTATATTTTAACCTCTTGGTTAAAAAAAAAAACGGTTTCCTTTGAACTGTATCAAACACATCAGTGCAAGAAAAAACATAAGGTAAAACCCCAAGATAACATTTCTCCATCTCATCAGCTCCAAAATTCAATGTCAATCTGACGACAACACAGATATCACAATGAAAGTAGAGTGTGATGTCACGTAGGTATGTTAGAAATAGGTTAATTGAATAGTTGAGTAAGCGCATGAATTCCTATTGGTAACTCCGCTATTCTATAGTCCTCAAGGGCGGGGATGGTAACCAATGCGCTTCTGCCCCACTCTCAGCGAGCCCCGTGTGGCCCCATGCTGCTGCCTCTGTATCAGAAGCAGCAGCGTGGGGGGCCAGGTAGGTGCCAGCCTGCAAGGGGAGCTAGTTTGAAAAACAGTTCCCCTCGCCACCTCCCTCCTTCCAGCCCCCACACACACTGCCATTGGCTTTTGGCTCCCACCAGCACCAGCTCTCACTCCCACTCCTCCCACCTTGCTGCCTCTGATACAGACTTTAGTCTAAGGAAGAGAAGACTGAGTTGTTACCTAATAGTTTTCAAGTACAGTGAAAGCTTTGTTATCCAGCACTCTGTTAACAAGAAAACTTTAACTAGCTTTGACCCCAGCTGAACCTGGACTCTGTGAAGCACTGCTGCTTTGAAACACTGCGGGGAGCCCTGCATCAGGCTCCCCACGGCATTTCAAAGCAGCAGCGCCAAATGGAGTCCAGGATCAGCTGAGGACTCTCCAGCTGACCTCAAGTCGGTGTGACAGTGCTGCTTTGAAATGCTGTGTGGAGCCCACTGTTGGGCTGCATGCAGCATTTCAAAGTGGCAGTGCCATGGGGAGCCTGGGAACAGCTGATCCCTCTCCTCCCCACCCCCGCTAACCCCGGGCTCCATGTGGTGCTTTTTACCTTTGAAGTGTATACTTCAAAGGCAGAGGCGCCCTACCAACTACTTGAATAGTTGATACAAAATGCATCCACTCATCAATTAGTCAGTTATCTGATATTTAATGTGAATGTTCCCATTTTTCATTTAAGTGTGAAATCCTTTTTTTAATCTTACTTTGGTCTTGGTCTCCAGAATACCTTGTTACAATGAATTGTACAGGTTAAGTATGTGCTGTGTAAAACAGTATTTTCCTCAGATTTTAATATACCGTATATACTCGAGGTTAAGCCGACCCGAATATAAGCCGAGGCACCTAATTTTACCACAAAAAACTGGGAAAAAATATTGACTCGAGTATAAGCCTAGGGTAGGAAATGAGGCAGCTACTGGTAAATGTAAAAAATGAAGATAGATACCAATAAAATTACATGAATATTTATTTCAAAGAAAAACAATAACCTAGCTCTGTAAGTGGAAAAGGGGGTCAACAAAAACAATATGGTATCAAAAATACCGTAACTTTAAAAGTACAACAACCTTAGCTCAATCAGCAACCAAGCT